AAAAAAAAAATTATATTGATTCGATCATTTTTAAAAAAGTTATGGCACTTTTAAGTAAAAAAAATTGAAAAAATATCGAAAATTAGCGATTTTTAAATTTGTAATTTTTTGTGGGATTTCCCCCGTTTGCGGGGAACGAGGGAATTTTTTTCAATTTTTGAGGGTAATGTTTTCGACTAGATACGATTTGTGATCTTTTGACATATTGTTCATCAAAATCGGTCCAGCGAGAGCTGAGATTGAGCGTTCACAGACACAAAAAAAAAATAAATAAAAAAAAAAAACACATCATAGTAAAATTAATACCTTCTCAGCTTCGCATCGAAGCTAATAATCTAATTATAAATGTAATTATTTTTGTTCAAAATTATTAATTATGGTCTATCAAAATTATTGTGTTCCGTAAATTCTACTTACCTATTAAGTGTGATAGATACGAGTGTAAACACCGAAGATGCGACAGTCCAGTAGGCTATAAAATTTGACGCTATACAAAGTTCCAGTCCAAACGGCCAGTCGGAGTTGAGCATATAAATGAAATTTGGTAGACAGTTTAGTGATGCCATGAATAAATCTGAAACACTCAAGCTGACCATGTAACAGTTGGTAACAGTTCGCATTCGTCGATGAGCTGGAACATATAGAAAAATACTCATTATTTGATATTTAATGATAAAAATGGGTAAAATGTATTTTTATACTAATCAAATTGAAAGGAAATAAAAAAAAATACTCTTTTGAATGAATGTATTATATTATGTATATTCAACGCCTTCCTGAGTGTTATATTATTGAATTGTTAAGTGTTGGATTCAATCAAATGTCATTGAAAATATTTGAAATGGAAATCGTAAGTGTTGATGAAATTGGTATATTTATTTTTTACTATATCAGCCTAAAAATCTCTCATCTATAGTATTTTTTACATGACATTTATTTAAACTAAATCATATTTAAAACAATATTTCATACATTAATTAAAATTTTTGTTATATTTCAATAGTGTTAAATATGTTACATTATTCTGTGATAATTTTAGTATTTGGATTTATTTATTAGTTTGGGATAAAAAGATATTGGCCAAGTAAAAACTTTTAGCTGACCAATGGTTTACACTAACACATAATTCTTTATGACTGTGCCAAAATCAAAGCATTTATTGAGCACAAAGTCTTGTTTCAACTTAACGAATAAATCACATTATCTGAAACTGCTTACAATATAGAATGATCCGTTTATCTTAACCCAGTTTTACTTAAAATATAAATAATTTAGGAATATAATTTTTTGATTTTTTTAGATACATAGACTGTATTAAGTATTTTTTGGTTCATTCCTTATAACTTTTAAGGGCGTTAACTTCATTTTTTTTTATAGCACCATGCCTGTTTAACTATCCCATAAAATATAAAACTATGTAATTAATAAAATAACGGGTCCAAAATAAATTTTGATCATTAATTTGGAAGTTATAACAGTCAAGATGTAGGCTGAGAGAGGCATAAATATAACTATTATTGTCATTAGACATTTCTCGGGCGCACTTCTCTTCCACTAATTTAATAACTATTTTAGTTATAAAGGAATATAATATATTCCTTAACAATACTTGACATACCACGTATTTAAATACACCAAGTATTTAACATCTTTCAGCACGATACAAAACATGCATCATTCGTGTCACCTTATGTTGATATTCTAATAAGTTAAGTGCTGAATTAGTTTTCGCAATACGCTATACTACAATATATAAGTATAAAGGTGGTACATTCCTTGTATAACATATTCTACTAACTATATTCGTATTTTAGAACGACGGTATAAGAGTTTAAAAAAATAAGTAAAAAATGACGCTTGACAAGAATAGGTACTATCTATACAGATACCTCATACCATTTACAAAAAATAATATTTGCAATAGCTTAGCGTATCTAAAAAAAATGTGTTTAAGTACTAGATAATGTATTTATTTTGGAAGTATTACAGTGTAATAATAATAATATTATTATTACTATATTGTTTTAAATTTATTTTTTCAGAATATTAAATCGAAAAAAACAGTAATATAATGTCCAACACATTTGAAACACTAATATATTTTGACATTAAACAAGTAGACTGTAAAGAATATTTCCATAAAAATAAATTGAAATCATGATAATTCTTATTTTAGTAACCGAATGATGCAGCAGTAAAATGACAAGAATTATTCTTTGTAACGTACCCTTTTGTTTATTTTATACTTATAACAAAATTATTGATCATCACTAATTTTTTCTGACACAATAAAATTTACAAACGATTTTTTCTTTTAACGACAATTTCAATAAACTTTAGTTATATAATACAATTTTCAACAATATTCGAGAAAATGAGTGTCATAATATGACATTCATTCAAATTTATTGTTTATATTTATTGTTTATTGTAAATTTATTGTTTATTAAGGACTTATTATATAAAAATTTATTTAATAGAAATAAAAAAAATGTTATAGTTTTATTCAAGTGTTATGTATACATTTGGGATAACAATAAATATTTTCGATTCGTGACAACGAAAAATTAGATTAAAATGTGGAGTGTAACATTTTGTTGTTGTAGTTAATAATAGTTAATTTGTTTAATGTGTCATGCCATATGATTGCCAAAAAACTGTCTTAATATAAAACAAAACACTAAAGAAAGTGTAGAGTAGGTACGAAGATGATAATGAGTCTGCTGCCGAGATATTCACGTACGTGTGATCGTATAGCATTAAGGTGCAGACTAAGTGCAAGACACAAATACTCTGAAATCTCGAGGATGAAAGTAGGTAGGTAAGAAAAAAGGACAAAGACTTAATTTTATACAGTAAGCCGAACATCTAGTTCTGAGACTGATGAATGACACAAAGCATAAGGTTAGGTACTGGAATCGTCTGACCACAATTAGTCAGATCCTTTGGGTTTAAATAGTATTTTAGATGATTGCTAATTTTGCAATCATTATTTGTTATTGTCAATTCATCAGTTGATAGTATCGGATGCGCTGTTTGTGATTTATTTATAATATTTTTTACAATAATGGTAACGTGACACCATCACAAAACTCAGAAGTAAATTCTTCTTTTAACTTTTTTTACCCATTATACACAAAACAAATTTTACTCAATTAATTATTTGTAAATGACAGAAATAAGCACCAAAATAACGTATAGAAATGTTTATATTTTCTGATGTAAAAATATAATATTTTTAAATTACGAGAGTTGTAAAATATCAATAAACTATCATGAGTAACGATTTGATGTGAAGAATTTAATTATACATAAATTAATTACTTAGTTTTCTTAACAATTGTTAAATATTATTATTCTAAGAACAAACAATACTCAATATTTCAACAATTAGTAGCAACTTAATAATAATTCAATGTTAAAATAACAGTTTTTGTTATAAAAATATTTAAAAAGAAAGTTATGTGTAAATTTAAATCCAAAAATCTTATCATTATCTTTGCACACTTTTTATTTAATACGTTTTCTTAATATAAATATTTATGAAATACCATAGCTTAATAGACACAAAATAAATAATTTCAGGAATTATTACATAAATATTTTTATTTGTCATGAAAAATTAATTTTAAATTTACATATCTCACAAGTGAATAATAGTGATAAAAATAATGCGCTGGTTACTAAAATGTAAATGACTTTTGCGGTATAATAAATATTTTTAAGCCTTAAAATGTTCCATTGGTTGAAAAATGAGTAATTATTTAGCTCAAATATTGTTAAAAATAATTCAGAAATTAAAAGCGGAGTAGAAATTTTAAAATTTGATAAAAGAAAGGTCCTGTATTTAAATAAAAAAAAAAATGATGCGGTTTCGGCTTATATTAAGTTAATACAAAAATAGGATCTGTAGAAAACACGTAATATATAATAAAATGATAAAAGTCACGACTTGATAATTATCAATAATTAGTTTAATAACTAATTTTGATTATGTTGAAATTTAATTATAATAAATGTTCAATGTTTACTTGTTAAAACAGATTAAGGTAAGGAGGGGAAAGATGGCGAATTCGGTATTACACAAAATCAATCACACAGAGCAACACATTCTTAACTATCATAAAAGTCACTTATGGTGCAATTTGTTATTAACTAGTGTGAATACAAGTGCGCGTTAGTTAATTTTAGTTGTAGTTGAAAGTCATATTTAACCAAAGGCGTAAAGCATTTGAGTAAATGTATTTGAATAAAAGTATTCAAATACTTTCATTGGTATTGAATAGTATTTTTAAATACATTTAATAAAAAGTATCTGAGTAGTATTTTAAATACAATTATTTAGTATTTAATACTGTTTAATATTCAGTACTATTAATTAACTTTTTTTTTTTTAATTTGCTAACCGTAACACAGCAAGCAAATTAAACTCAGTCAAAATGAAAATTGAGAATAATTCTCTGTTATTTTATATGTTACATTATAGTATAACATAATTATTGTGCTTATCTAAATGCTATTATGTATACATCTATTTTTAATACATCAGTTGAACCTACAATAGCCTATTGCAGGTTCAAATGATTTACTCTATTGTCAATAAGACATACTTTACAGGTTTTTACACGTGTACTAATATTTATTTTTTTCACTGATTAGTCTCCAATAATTAATTTTATTTACCTCTAACAAAAAATATCGAAAATAATAAATGAGTTCTCTTAATTTAAGAGTACTCAATATTTGACTCAAATTACCCTCTTGGTAATTATTTAGGTGGAACCTTTTGCCCTTAGTTAAAATAAAAACATTATTATTATTTTTTAATTGTATTCTTAGTATTTAAAACACTTTTGTAAAGTAATTGAGTATTACTTAAATACTTTTGTATGAAAAGTATTCAAATAGTATTTTAAATACATTTTTTTTTAAATATTTGAGTATTATTTAAAATACTTTTTAAAAGTATTTTTTACAACTATGTATTTAACGTATATTTATGTTATTTTAGAACAAAATTCTAGGCAATAGTAACTAAGATGAATTTTATATCTTTTTCTTTCAAATATTCTAAAAGTCCTACTCAGTACCTATAATTCACAATTAACACCATTCTTTTACAATAGTTTTAGTTACAAAGTTTTACGATAGTTTTCTTCATCTTTAGTTTGAAAAAGATGATAAAATTAATAGTTTTAAGAAAACCCATAATTTGTTGCTCGGAGTGAAAGAGAAAAAAAAATGTTATTTGGTAAGGTATTTAAGATGGACTATTACAAATTTCAGATTTAAGACAAATAAGAATTATCTTCTAACCAAATACAACCATAGAAACACTATTACGATTGCCAAAGTACGAATTACCAGAAATGCAAACACCAGACGATTACGAAATACCGTGTTCACGTGTAAGTTATTTATTGGACAAACAGGAAGATCAATTGCAACAACAATAAAAAAACATGAAAACAACGTAGAATACCAAAAGGGTGAAAAAACCCTTGGTAGCCGAACATGCCAAAAATATCTGACGCAAAATTAAAAATGACAAGGTCAAAATTTTGAATAAAGAATGTTATTTTGATAAACGAATATACAAGGAAGCAACGGAAATCGAAAAATGTCTAGAAA